CCTCTTTCAGCAAGGCAGACAGTTTGTTGCCTCCTGTGCACGGGCATCACTGTGTGCTGCTGTCCACTCATTGCCAGGGCCACCAAAGACTTATCCACACCAGTAAGATAAACCCCATCAGTTACACCACCAGTTCCCTGGTATGCCTGCTCCTGGGGTGCCTGAAGGATCAGGAAATAAATGACTGCTTGGGAAAGAACAAACCCTAAAATCCCTGAGGGTGGGTTTTTCTTTTTTTGTTTTGTGGGGTTTTTTGTTTGTTTCCGCATTGCCTGTCTCTGCCCTTTTGCTGCTGGTCAGCTGTACTTCCAGAGTGCTGGCTGCAGTGTGCAGCAGGCTCTGACTTAGAAGGTCAAATGGCAAGTGAAGGCTCTGCTCATTCTCGGTACATGTGGCGCTTCTGTGGACTACCTGTGTGTCTGTGCTGTGCATGGGGCTGGGAGAGGGTGAACCTGGTTTTACTGTTTTATATTAACATGTCCTTTTGTAAACATGTTCCTGTTCTTGGAATTATTTTGTACCAGTTTACATTTGTCTGAGGACTGTGGATATTTTTATACTAGTGCAAGTGCTTTCTGTATATTTCTGCACGCATTATACTGTGTTTTACTCATTTTCTAGTGGATGCTGAGGTGTTTTGTATCATCTCCTGTTAACACAACACTGGGCTCATAACTTTATTTTACTATGGAAATCCAACTAGTTCCTACTGGGTTTTATATTTTTGCCAGCTTTAATAGACAGCAACAATACTATTTATTTTCTCACTGCTTCACTGTCTAGGAAATAGCTCAAGGCTCTTAATGTGGCTCTGTGCCACACTGGCACAACACAACATGCCTCCTGTTCTGGACAATTTGTTATGGTGACTTTCTCCTTACAGACAGCAGTAGGAAAGTTCATCAATGAACAAGTTCATCAATGGGCTGCATGGGGGGAATACATCTCTTTTGGAAAAGAAACGAAGATTTTTCTTCCTCACTGGAAAGTTTCTCTGTTGCACGATCTCTAGTGGGTTGGTAAAGAAGAGCATGGGGTTGTTATACTGAAATCAATTGTATTTGAATTGCAAATTTTTCTCAAGTGTTTCTTTCTTCAGGTTTTACTTACCAGTTTTATTTCAGCAAGAGCCATGCACCCAGACTAGAATTTTATGGAGAAAATTAAGACAATTTTCAAGGTCTGTAGTTGCCAGTTCCATACCCCTCTCTGCTACTCAAAGATGAGCAGTTTGGTTTTGGAGCACTGAAGACACAGGAGGCTGTTAGTGTGATCAGAGCTTCTAATGGATAAGGCTTCAATCCTGCCTTGCCCATAGCTATCCAGATTTCCCATGAAGAAAATAGTTGTTAGCTGATACAGGAGACAGCCTGTTCTTGTTCTTAGATCAGTTCAGAGAACTAACCATGGTCACATTTAATATGCTTACTACCAAGGACTGAATCCTATATGGAAACACATGCTCTCCACAGCAACAATGGGCTATATTTGAGAAGGAGCAAGACTGGACAAAAGGCTTGCTTTTTGGTGCTGGCAGTCGTGTACCTTTCATCTATGTCAACATCACATGTAAGCTAGGACAAAAGAAGACATCCCCTGAGACAGAGCTGATAGCAATGCTCTGTTCTTGGGTTCCTATATGCAGCTCCCCTCTGTGATAGCAGAGGTAGAATTGCTGGAGTTGCTGTCACTGAAGGTGAAGGACTGCTGCTCTGATAAGCTGTATCCCATGGACAGTTTGGGTTCAGCTTTATTTCTGTATTGACACTGCAGCCACCTTCAGACTTTTTACCTTTGCATGATTGACAGAAAGGGGTCTGGAGGAGGTAAGAAATATTAGGCATGGGGATAAGAGGTATCAGGTGGAGAAGCTGTTGGCCGGATGTTTCTCTCTGAAAAAAGCAAAAGATGTTGCTTTTAAATCAGTTTGGCACTGCTGTAACACTGACTTCAGTAGATTTATTCTGGGGGTCCACTCTTAATATCATACCCAGTACTTGTATTTTTCACTGCTTTGAATGTTTATTTCTGTCAAACTTTCTTCAAAGTTACTTTCCTATTCCTATACTTGTAACTTGCTTATGTAACATATATGCTATGTGTAAAATTCTATTTTCATAGAAACTGTTTGCATTCGTCACTTAGAAAGGGCAGTTACTCTAAAGCCTGTTCTCTAGGAAAGTGAAGCTTTATCTGTACATCTAAACCAGACATACCTGACTGGATAAGGCTTGGCTCAGTGGACCAAGCAGTTACCTCAATAAAATGGGGTTTGCAGACTGAGTCTGTTCAGTGCTTGTGAAGGGGAAGATGGCTTTGAAATGAGAAGGCACAGATAGGGATACTGTGCATGTATCACTTGGAGTGCTTAAGGTTAGCCTCCCATTGGTCCTGGAGAAAACCTTTTCTATCACTTTTCCACAATGGTTTAGGAAAGTGTGTATTTTCTGAAACTTGTGAGATTAGCTGACTTAGAATCAGATGCCCTGAAGAGCAGGCTGAGAGCGTTAGTAAAGTTTACTTTTAAAATCGGCATGGCCAATACAGAATTGAAACACAAGCTCTGCTCAGCTGCCTTTGGCAATAGCAAATTTCACTGCTTCCAGCCCCAAGGTCATGTAAACCGCTGCAAGTGGCTGAGCTCAGTCAAAGCAGGTCCTATGTGCTTAGGAGCAGCCACTCCTAAATCATTTAGCATGGCTAAAACAGCAGTAATGCATGCGATGGGATTTTACTGTGTACGGTGCTAGCCAGCTAAGCCCTTTGCCCTTGTGCTTTCCAACCCCTTGACAAAACACCGTTGCTTTCAAAGTGTAGGAGACGCCTTTGGTCAGGGGAACCTGTGCTGCCAAATCTCGGGCAGAAGCCATCGTTGCAACTGCTGCCCAGACTCGCCTCCCGATTCATCTGTCCCCACGCAGAACTGGGGTCTTGCTGAAATCTAGGCCATGTGATAGCGATGAGGAGGATCCAGGAGGGCCCGCTGTGATTTCGGGAGGGTATCGCACGAAGATACGACGTACAGGGTTGGCTTCGGCCCGCTTTTCCCACTGCCGGCTGCACGCTCTACCAGCCAGGCT